GAATAGTTATGAGTGGATTGACTTGCTTGAAACTGAGTTATCTCTCTTTAGTTAGCTCTATCCTGCCCTAATAAATATTCTCTCCTCTAAAAACTGTAATTGGTAATAAATAATTTGTTTATTTATTTATTTTATGATTTATCTAACTTTAATTTTAATCTATTTTTAGATTAATGTCCTCCATTATAATTCAGTAGTTTGAATATTTTTGCTCAATTAATTAGCTATAACGATAGTCAATATCAAAATCTTTAATATTAAAACTTTGGTCTTTCCTTTTATTTTTTAAAAACATCCGGGTAATCTATCGTCTTATTCTTAATTTGCTTGTTTTGCTTTGTTTTATTTTTTGCATTAACAGAGAAAATTAAAAATCAAAAAATTTAATCTTACTCATTAAAGGCTTACAATAAAGTGTTTTCAAGCTTTATAATTTAATATTTTTAGCTAGTAATAGTAATGTTTGTGATTGGTATTAATTAGAATATAAAATAATTTGGCTATATTTTTGATAGTAACAATATAGGAGTGCAAATAACTCTTTTACTATTGATTATACCTGTTGCTATACTTATTTTACAATAACAATACAAATATTTAAACAAAGAAAGATTAACAAAAAAAATATTAAGCTTTTCAGAAGTGAATAGAGAAAAAATACAAAATGAGGCTATATTCGAATCAAAAATAAGAAGAAACTATATGATTATTTACTAAATATTTGAGTCATTTTTAATTCCTATTTGCTTTATTTAATTAAGCTAAAGTTGGATCGCTACATGTGTGATTGCAATAATTATTTAGCTATCTTAATTATTAATCATAATTTATCTAAAACCATTTTACTCGAATCTAACAAATGTTTATTTTATTATTGATTCATCTCTATGGTTAACAATGTATATTTAGTTTCTAATTTTAAACATTTATAGTTAAAAGGGAAACCCAAATTAATACTCAGAGATATTAAATATATTTAGCTATTCATTTTTAATTAATTCCTAAGTTATAATGTTGGAATTAACTATTTTTTTACTGATCTCTTTAACATTATAGGCTTATAAATACTTTAAATAATCAAAAAAATAACCTTAGCAGTTAGATAGTCAAAATAATTTTCAAATAGAATTAGTGCCAAAGTAGTTTACTTCAAATGATTTGTCAGAAATAAGAGATGAACATGCTGCTTCTACTGGAAAAAACTATAAGGATCAATTTAAAGTGTTTAGCTTATATGAAAAAATGTTTAAGAAAAAATAAAACAAATAAATTTTATAAAAATAAAAAGAAATAATTTGAAAAATTTTTACATAAATTAAAATTGTAAATAATATTTTAATCATTAAATTTATTAATAAAAATAATTGTAAAAATGTATTTATACTAATCGGATTAGAGAACAATTAGAAATATATATATATATATAAACCACCCATCATTACTGGATTAAATTAGAAAAATCTACAAAATAAAAATTATTTTTATGAAATTTATGAATAGTAAGTAAGAAATTACTACAATTTTTTCAACATATGACTAACTAACTGTACATTATTTTTTTGCTACATATTTTAAAATAAACGTTTTAAATAGAAATTTCAATATTAAATAATCAATGTTATACTAACTTTTTTGTGATATCTCTTACTAAAAGCAAATTTATAAATTCTTTTAATTTATTTGTTCTTTTTATCCAGTTATAATTAATTAAATTTCAATTAATTGCTATTCAATATATTTGAAAAAAAAAATAAATGATATAATAGATTAAAAATGCCAACAAATTAGAAGAAGTAATTATTTATTTATTTATCTATTTACATTAAATTAATTTTTATTAATATAAAAAGTTTTTAAACTCTTCACTTTAATCTCACGAAATTCTCCATATTGATCTAAGGTATTTTTAATTTATAAATATTTTTATTATTTTTACTTTCTTTATTTTTAACTTACAATTTATTTACCTATTACTCATTCATTTTATTTAACAAATATTATTTAGTTATTTTTACTTTATTTTTACTTTCTATTTTTAAAATTCATTATCTATTTTTTCTTTCTAACACTTTTACTTGATATGAACAGTTTATTTGTTTTAGATTGTGATATTTTTAGTTATAAAAATGAATTTAAAACAATAAAATTCTTTTAATTTGTTTATTATTAGCTTTTTATTTGATTTATTTTTTCTTTTTCTTTTTTATTGTACTTCTATTTATTATCTTCTATGATTGTTAATTTAACTCATTTTTCTATTATCAACTATTTGTTGCTTTTATTATTATTAATTAATTCATTTCTTATTATTTAATATTTTTTCTTCATTTTTCTTTCTAACTTACTAATTAATTTTTCATTTTTTCTTCAATATTTAAAAAGTTACAATCGAATTGGTGTTGAAGGTGCATCAAGGTTAGGTTCTGCTTTAGGAAAGTGCACTAATCTCTCGAATTTGACACTTGATCTTTAGTAATTTAGTTTATTTGTTTTGCATTGAGATATTTTTCGTTATAAAAATGAATTTAAAATAATAGAGCTCTTTTAATTATTTAATTTTATTTTATTTGATTTCTTTTTCTTTTTTATTGTACTTGTTTTTTTTTTTTCTTCTATCTTTCTTTATATAATTTATTTTTTTATTCCCCGATTTTGCTTTTATTATTATTAATTAATTTCTTATTATAATAATATTTTTTCTTCATTTTTCCTTCTAACTAATTAATAATATATTTTTTCTTCAATATTTAAAAAGGGCAAATTAAATTGGTCATTAAGGCGCAATAGGCTTAATTTCTGCTTTAGAAAATTTCACTAATCTCTCAAATTTTACACTTAATATAGGGTAAAAATACTTTATTTATTTTGAAGTATGATATTTTTAATTATAAAAATGAATTTAATCTATTAAAATTATTACCTAGCTTTTTATTTGATTTATTTTTTCTTTTTCATTTTTATTGTACTTGTATTTTTTATCTTCTATGCTTTTTAATTTAACTCATTTTTTTATTTTCAACTATTTTTGCTTTTATTATTATTAATTAATTCATTTCTTATTATTTAATATTTTTTCTTCATTTTTCCTTCTAACTAACTAACTAATTAATTTTTTTTTCTTCAATATATATTTTAAAAGTTAAAATTAAATTGGTGATGAAGGTGTATCAGTCTTAGGTTCTCATATAGGAAAGTGCACTAATCTCTCGAATTTGACACTTGATCTTGAGTAATTTAGTTTATTTGTTTTGCATTGAGATATTTTTCGTTATAAAAATGAATTTAAAATAATAGAGCTCTTTTAATTATTTAATTTTATTTTATTTGATTTCTTTTTCATTTTTATTGTACTTGTGATATAGTAGATAAGGGGAATTATTGCCGGTCAACCAATATTAAAAACCATAAAACCAAAAATTTAAATAAAGTTCTCATTCATTTTTGAATATAACCCCCGCATTTCCTCCCCACCGATTTATTTTTATTTTTTATTGAACTTGTTATTTTTTTCTATCCTTCTTAATTTAACTCATTTTTTTATTATCAACTATTACTTTTATTATTATTAATTAATTTAATTCCTATTATTTCATATTTTTTATTAATTTTTTCCTTCTAACTAACTAATAAATTATTTATTATTTCTTCATTATTTAAAAAGTAGCAATAAAATTGGTGCAAAAGGTGCATCAGACTTAGGTACTGCTTTAGCAAATTGCACTAATCTCTCAACTTTGACACTTAATCTTTAGTAAATTCATTTTATTTGTTTTTGATTGTGATATTTTTAATTATAAAAATGAATTTAAAACAAAATAACTCTTTTAATTTGTCTATTAGCTTTTTATTTGATTGATTTCTTTTTCTTTTAAATTGTATTTGTGTTTTTTTCAACTTTTCTTAATTTTAAATGTTGCTTTTATTTTTATTAATTAATTAATTTCTTATTATTTCATATTTTTTCTTAGCTAACTAACTAACTAACTAACTAACTAACTAACTAATTAGTTAAATATTTTTTCTTCACTATTTAAAAAGTTACAATAAAATTGATGATGAAGGTGTATCAGCAGGCTTAAGTTATGCTTTATAAAAATGCACTAATCTGTAAAAATTGATACTTGATCTTGGGTAAAAAAGTTGATTTTTTTTGTATTGTGATTTTTTAGTTATAAAATGAATTTAAAACAATAAAACTCTTTTAATTTTTTTATTACCTTTTTATTTGATTTGTATTTCTTTTTATTTTTATTATGCCTGTGGTTTTTTGTTTTATCTTTCTAAATTTAACTCATTTTTTGATTTTTAAAATTTTCGTTTTATTATTATTAATTTACTCATTTCTTATTATTTCTTCATTTTTTCAAACTAATTAACTAATTAATTAAACATTTTTTTTTCAATATTGAAAAAGGTCTAATTAAATTGGTGTTGGTGTTGGTTTTGCTTTTGAAAATTGCACTAATCTCTCAAATTTGTCACTTTGTCTCGAGTAAATTCAATTTATTTGTTTTTGATTATGATATTTTTCATTATAAAAATGAATTTAAAGCAATATAACTCTTTTAATTTGTTAATTAGATTTTTATTTTATTTATTTTTTATTTAAATTGTTTTTTTTCTACTATGTTTCTGAATTTAAGTCATTTTTTTTTATTATAAACTATTGCTTTATTGTTATTAATTAATTTATTTATTTCATATTATTTCTTCATTTTTTCCTTCTAACTAATAATCAAATATTTTTTTGTCAATATTTAAAAAGGTTTAATTAAATTGGTGATGAAGGCGCATTAGACTTAGGTTCTGCTTTAGCAAATTGCACTAATCTCTCAAGTTTGACACTTAAACTTGGGTAAAAAAGTTTAATGAATTTAAAACAATAAAACTCTTAATTTGTTAATTAGCTTTTTATTTGATATATTTTTCTTTTATTTTATTGTACTCATGTTTTTTTTTCTTCTTTCTAATTTTCTTAGTTTAATTAATTTTTTTTATTATCAATTTTTGCTTTTTTTATTATTAATTAACTCATTTCAAATTTTTTCTATTTTTTTTTTTCCTTGTAATTAACTAATTAATCATATATTTTTTCTTCAATATTTAAAAAGTGATAATGATATTGGTGCAATTGGTTTATCAGGGTTAGGTTTTGGTTTAGTAAATTGCACTAATCTTACTAATTTCGAAATTAATATTTAGTAATAATGCAAATTAGGTCCCTAGTGTGATATTTTTCTTTTATTTATTAATTTTAAATATAAATTTGAATTAAAAAATTTTATTATATTTAATTTTTTAAATAATTTATTTTAATATATAATAAAAGTTAAAAGAAAATCTACAAATCTTAATTATTGAAAATCTATAGAAAATGTCATTAAAAAAAAAGATTAGTTAGCTTTAAAATATATTACTCAAGTTGATAAACAAGTGGTGTAAAAAAGATGAATAAATATTAAATATTTGAATAATAGAAAATAATATATTTTATTATTTTTATTTTGTAATAAGATAATTTAACCTAAAATATATTGCTAATTCAGGTATTAAAAAATAATATTTTAATAAATGGATTTATTTTTAATTTAAAATGAAAAAAATAAATTAAAATATTTATGAAAAAGTAAGTAAAGACACTATTCAATAAAATTCATAAATTAAATATAATATATTAATATACAGTATAAAATGCGTTCAAAATACAATATTCAATATTTTTTCTAATTTTTGTGGGTTTTATATTAACCTCCCACCCTCCCCATTAATTACTAGAATTTTTTCAACATAATACTAACTACACGTTTCTAATTCGTACGATATTTATAAGTACGCGTTTTAGACAGAAATTTTAAGATTAAATAATGAATGTTTCACAAATGTTTTTGTTATAAAAGCAAATTTATAAATTAATATTTGATAATTGTAATTTTATTAATTATATTTATCTTCCATTAATTAATTACTATTTAATATTTTTGAAAATAAATAAATGATATAATAGATAAAATATTACAACTAATTAGAAGAAGTAATTATTATTTTTTTATGAATCAATTTTAAATTTATTTTTATTATAAAAAAAGTTTTTAAACTCTTCACTTTAATCTCATAAGGTTCTCAATATTGATTTGGAGTATATTTAATTTATGAATATAATTATTGTGAATATTTTTTATATATTCAACTTTCAATTTATTTATAAAATTATTTCTTTTATTTAAATTCTCACCTATTTCCACTCATTTTTATTTATTCAAATATTTTTAGTTATTTTAACTTTATTTTTATTTAAAAACTTTTAATATTCATTATTCATTTTTTATTGCCAGTTGCTTTTTGAATAAGAGAATTTTTATTTAAGATTAAAAATTTATTCAAATAATTATTTTCATTCTCTTTTATTTGAATGAAATTTTTCTAAAATATATTTTAAATTAAAATTTATTTATTTATTGTTTTTTAAATTTGTAACCATCAATAGGTAAGGAAACCTACCACCGTTTTTGAATATTACAAAAAAAAATTTTATTTTTAATAAAAGATAGATTTTTATTAACTACTCTAAATAAAGAGAATTCTTTGAGAAGATAATTTTTAAGCAAAATTATTTTTATTTTTTCTCTTATTCAAACAATGAAGATGGTTGATATTTTTTATTCATATTTTTCTTCTAACACTTTTAATTGATATGAATAGCTTGTCCATTTTGGATTGAGATTTTTTAAATATAAAATTGAATTAAAACAATAATACTCTTTTTAATTTAATTTATAATTTATATTAAATTTATTTTTATTCTTTAGTTTTTTTTAACTTTCTTAATTTAATTAATTCATTTTTTAATTTTCAACTTTTACTTAATTTATTTCTTATATTTTTTCTTCATTTTTTCTTTCAAACTAGCAAATTAATTATATATTTTTCTTCAAAATATAAAAAGGTTTAAATTAATTGGCGATAAAAGTGCATCAGATTTAGGTTCTGCTTTAGCAAATTGCACTAATCTCTCAAATTTGAAACTTTATCTTAGGTAAAAATAGTATTTTTATTTTGTATTGTGTTATTTTTATTGTATTTTAATTTATTTAATAGTTTTTTAATTGATTTATTATTTTTTATTGTGATTTTTTTATTTCCCTATCCTTCTATATTAATTTAAATCATTTTTTATTTTCAACTTTTGCCTTTATTATTAATTAATTCTTTGTTGCTTTTAATATCATTTCATATTTTTTCTTCATTTTTTCCTTCTAACTAGCTCATTGATTAAATATATATTTTTTTTCAAAATTTAAAAAGGAGCAATTAAATTGGTGACGAAGGTGCATCGGGCTTAGGTTCTGCTTTAGCAAATTGCACTAATCTCTCAAATTTGACACTTAATCTTTGGTAAAAACAGTTTATTTATTTGGATTGTGATATTTTTAATTGTGAAAATGAATTTAAAACAACAAAGCTCTTTTAATTTTCTCAATTATTTTAAATCAATTTTTTTATTTTCAATTTTCATTTTATTATCAAATTATTTTTTTCTTATTATTTCATATTATTTCTTCATTTTTTCTTCTCATTAACTAATTGATTAATTATATATTTTTTGTTCAATATATAAAAAGGGATAATAAAATAGGTGCAATTGGTGCTTCGGGCTTAGGCTTTGCATTAGTAAATTGCGCTAATCTCTCAAATTTAACACTTTTTCTTAGGCAAAAATAGTTTTTTTATTTTGGATTGTGATATTTTTATTTATAAAAATGAATTTAAATTATAAAACTCTAATTATTTGCTAGTTTTTTATTGTGCTTGGTTTTTTCTTCTTTTATCTTTCTTCATTAATTTAAACCATTTTTTTATTTTCAAATTTTGCATTTATTATCAATTATCTAATTATTTCATATTTTTTTTAGTCATTAATAATTTATTTTTTCTTCAATATATAAAAAGGTCTAATTAAATTGGTGCAATTGGTGCATCAAGCTTAGGTTCTGCATTAGCAGATTGCATTAATCTTTCATATTTGGCACTTAATCTTAGGTAATAAAAGTTTATTTGTTTTGGATTGTGATATATTTAATTATAAAAATGAATTTTAAAAAATAAAACTCTTTTAATTTATTTCATTTATTTTTATTTTTTATTGATTGTGCTTATGGTTTTTTTTATTTGCTAATAATTTAACTCATAATTTTTTTTCAGCTTTTGCTTTTATTACAATAAATTAATTTACTTCTTTTTATTATATAATATTTTTTCTTCTTTTTTCCTTCTAATTAAATAAAATATTTTATATTATTTCTTCAATATATACAAAGTTATAATTAAGTTGGTGATGAAGGTGTAAAAGGATTAGGCTCTTCTTTAGCCAAATCCACTAATCTCTCAAATTTGACCCTTAATCTTATGTAAAAACTGTTTATGTCTTATGGTTTGTCATATTTTTAATTATAAAAATGAAATAAAAAATAAAACTCTTTTAATTTAATTTATCTTATATTGTATTTTTTATTTCTATTTTTATTTACTGATTTAACTCATTTTTTATTTTCAACTTTTTCTTTTATTTATTACTTTGCCTATTATATTATTTCATATTCTTTCCTTCTAATTAACTATTTAATTATACTTTTTTTCTTCAATATTTAAAAAGCGACAATTAAATTGGTGATGAAGGAATATCAGGCTTAGGTTATGCATTAGCAAATTGCAGTAATCTCTAAAGTTTAACACTTAATCTTTGGTAAAAACAGTTTATTTGTTTTGAGTTGTAATATTTTTAATTATAAAAAAAAATTTAAAACACTAAAACTCTTTTAATTTATTTGATTTTATTTTTATTGTGCTTATGTTTTTTTATTTCTATCTTTCTTTATTAATTTAAAATATGTTTTATTTTCAACTTTTACATTTATTATTAATTAATTTTGCTTATTATTTTATTTCAAATTTTTTCTTTTAAATAGCTAATTAATTATTTATTTTATGTTCAACATATAAAAAGGGATAATTAAATTGGTGCAATTGGTACATCAGGCTTAGGTTCTGCTTTAGCATATTACACTAATCTTTCAAATTTGTCACTTAATCTGAAGTAAAAACAGTTTATTTGTTTTGAATTGATATTTATTTAATTATAAAAATGAATTTAAAAAACAAAACTCTTTTAATTTATATGATTTATTTTTTATTGTGCTTGTGTTTTTTATAAATCATATTTTTATTTTCAACTTTTGCTTTTCTTATCAATTATTTCATATTCTTTCTTCACTTCTTAATTATAAGTTTTTCTTCAATACTTAAAAAGCGAAAACTAAATTGATGCAATTGGTGCATCAGGCTTAGGTTTTGCATTAGCAAATTGCACTAATCTCTCAAATTTGACACTTAGTCTTAGGTAAAAACAATTTATTTGTAATTTTATTTATTTTCTTTTTATTTTTTATCGTGCTTGTGCTTTTTTTATCTTTCTTAATAATTTAACTCATATTTTTATTTTCAACTTTAATTTTCCTTCTAACTATCTAATAAATTACATACTTTTTCTTCAATATATAAAAAGTGAAAATTAAATTGGCTACGAAGGTGCATATAACTTAGGTTCTGCTTTAGCAAATTGCACTAATCTCTCAAATTTGACACTTGATCTTGAGTAAAAACAATTTATTTGTTTTAGATTAATGATATTTTTTATATAAATTTTGAAGTAAAAACAAAAAAACTTTTTTTATTCATTTGATAATTGTTTCCTTGATTTATTTTTCTTTTTATTCTGTTAATTTTTTTTATATTTATTAATTTTAAATATAATTTTTAATTTTAAAAAATTTTATTCTATTTAATTTTTTTTAGTAATAAATATATTCTAATTCATAATAAAAGTTAAATCAATGAATTATAATAATTAAGAGTAAAAAGCAAGTGTCTTAAATTAAAAAGATTAGTTATCTTTCAAATATTTTTCAATTGGTGAACTAATGGTGAAAAAAGGAAATATATTTTTTTTATATTTCTTTTATGACATATTCTGAATAAATCTAAAAATAAAAAATATATATTTTAGCCAAATGCCATTCAAAAATTTAGTGATTTGAGATCTCAATTTTTTTGAATGGCTGATATGTTTGAATATAATTTATATAAAAATAAATAAATAATAGAATTTAATTAATAATATTTATAATTTATTTTAATTTATATCAATCTATAAAATTAATTTTTCAATCAAATTTTTAATATAAATTATTTTTTAATTGATGTAAAAATGTTTTATTTACTTTAAAGCCTTGATTTGAAGTCTAAATTTATAATTCTTTTGATTAAATTGATTTATTTATATAAAAGTGTTAAAAATTCATCTCCTTAATATTATTGATATTCATTTCACTGGCTTTTTTTAATCAAAGATGATAAAAATATATATTTATTACAAATTGCCAAACATATTATTTTATTTTTATTAATATTTTCAATAAATAAAATATCTTGCTTTGAATAATTTTTAAATTTATTATTAAAATTGTTTTATTTTTATTAGCAATCAATATATATTTTTAATAAACTCACATTAATTAATCTTATCTTAACATTATTAAAATGCTTTTTTTATCATTTTTAAATATTAATAAAATTGATTAAATAAAAATTATTTTTAACTTAAAATTTTTAATTTTGATGAATTATTTTATTCATAATTAATATACTTATTAATATAAAATTATATATATAATACTTAATTATACTATGCTTTATTTTATAATATGATTCAAAGTAGAAGTTAGAAAATTAATAGCTTAAGAAGAAGATGAAGGAAGGAAGGAAAGAAGAAAGGGGGAAATGAAGATTTCAAAGAAGTTTAGACATAAAAGCCTATTAGATAATCCAACCACAAACTAATAAGATCTTTTCATCATCCTTCATAGAAGATTCGAATGTGATATCGCCCTTTGCGTAGAAGGCATTTTATTCATTCCAAGGCATAGTACACATACTATTAGCAACATGAGAGTTGATAATTTAAGTGATTGGAATGCCATCTCTAACTACATCAATCTTTTTGGGGAATTTGCAAGCATAGTTCAAGATAACATCAAGTCTGTTAGCGCATGAAACAACGGGTTACAAAACCATTGGGGGTCTAGTCTAATCTGCATGCTTAACTATGAATCTTGGGGTACTTGCACAACTTCCAGAAATAAGATGTTCAACCTTACCAAGGATAACTCCTTTGTATCTAATCATAGCGGTTTTCTTGCAACACATTTCAATTTGAATGGGACAACCTTCGCTGGGTAGATTTTAGAACATGTAAGGAATTTCGGAGTGTTCATAGCATAAGCAACAGCTCTTAGGGTTAAAGCAAGCGAGTTTACATCCTTTTTCTCTGTAAATTTCGATTCTTCCAAAGCTTTAAGTTTCAACAAATGTGGTGGATTTACCATAGCAGAGGAAGCTTTCAGTGAATTTGAGGTAAGTAGTTTCAGAAGTCCAGTTCTAAGGAACATCGAATTATACCTTTGATAATACAGTGGCTTGTTATTAGCTTTAGATTTTTTAAAGTTTTTACTAGTATTCATAATTTGCTTGCTATTACTAGACATTTTAGAGAGGAACAACCTAATTATTTGTATCTTGCATAGGAATCATTTCTACTTTTTATTTAAGATAAGTTTTTTTGTTTTTAAGTATTTGTGTAGTTAGTTATTTTTTTTGATTTAAATAAATTATATTTTGGAACAAAAAAGTTATTTCGCTTATAAACGATTAGTTAATATAACTATAAATTTGAAAAGCATTTAAGAAATAAATCAATATCTCTATAAACTTAATTTGTTCAAGCAGCTTTATATCTTACTTTTTGTTTTTAGTTCTATTAAATTAAGTAAAATTAAAATTTTTGGGGGTAAGTTACAAGGAATAAATTAATTACAGTTAATAAAAATTAGCTAGCGAGCAATTAATAAATGATAAATACTGGTCATGAGATTAACACTAATAAAAAATATGTCAAATAATTAATTAGATCTATTTATTTCTTTCTTACTTACTTTCGCTGTATTTATTTTGTAATAGTTGCTTCATTATCAAGATAAAATTATAATTTTAATATCTAAGTTAAATTAAAGAATTGAATATATTTTTATTAGATATATGATAAAACCGTAATATCATAGATTAATATTTTTCATATATAAAAAGATGCTAAATTAGTATTTTTTAATAGTGAGGTAAAATAATAAAATGATAGAAATGAAGAAATTCTTTTGTTAATAAAATAAGTGAGCAAATTTTATTTACAACTAATCGTGTTTTTTGCCATACAAAGTCAATTTATTTATAATCAGACAAAGTATAATGATAGAGCGTGGTGATGATTTTAATATATTTAGAACATTATTGATAAATGTAAAATCAAATATAATTCTAAATAACAAATATATTAGAATCTTAAGCAAGCGTTATTTGTAAATATCTATCTATTAATCTAAAAAGAATGTATGTACTACTCTCAAATGATAATTTAATTAAAAGAACTATAACTTTATTCATATAAATACTTTAAGAAAATTGAATGCATGAATAATAATATAAAATAGAGTGGTCTTAGTAATTAATAGACAGATCGAAATATTTAATTGTTCGTTTCACTTTTTATTATTTTAAATATATTTGCTCATCCCGAAAACAGTAAAATAAGGGAAAGAGGATGAGAGGGGGAAATAATTTTAAAAATAAACCTTTTCGGAAGAGGAGAAATAATTAAAATTAATAGATCTGGGTTTTTAGGAGTCTACTCAATAGATCCTGCCCTCGCCTCCCAATCTTTAGGATATAGCATATTATTTTATTTTTATTAATATTTTCAATAAATAAATATCTTACTTTGAATAATATAAAAAATATAATTATTAAAATTGTTTTATTAAATATATTTTTAATTAAATTTATATTAATTTATCTTCTCTTAACATATTTTTGAAAAATGGATTGTTTTTTTTCTCATTTTTAAATACTAATAAAATTGATGAAATTAAATTATTTTTAAATTAAACTTTTTATTTTGATGAATTATTTTATTCATAATTAATATACTTATTAATATAAAATTATATATAAAATACTAAATTATAATATTATGCTTTATTTTATAATATGATTCAAAGTAGAAGTTAGAAAATTAATAGCTTAAGAGATGATGAAGGAAGGAAGGAATGAAGAAAGGGGGAAATGAAGATTTCAAAGAAGTTTAGACATAAAAGCCTATTAGATAATCCAACCACAAACTAATAAGATCTTTTCATCATCCTTCATAGAAGTTTCGAATGTGATATCGCCCTTTGCGTAGAAGGCATTTTATTCATTCCAAGGCATAGTACACATACTATTAGCAACATGAGAGTTGATAATTTAAGTGATTGGAATGCCATCTCTAACTACATCAATCTTTTTGGGGAATTTGCAAGCATAGTTCAAGATAACATCAAGTCTGTTAGCACATGAAACAACGGGTTACAAAACCATTGGGGGTCTAGTCTAATCTGCATGCTTAACTATGAATCTTGGGGTACTTGCACAACTTCCAGAAATAAGATGTTCAACCTTACCAAGGATAACTCCTTTGTATCTAATCATAGCTGTTTTCTTGCAACACATTTCAATTTGAATGGGACAACCTTCGCTGGGTAGATTTTAGAACATGTAAGGAATTTCGGAGTGTTCATAGCATAAACAACAGCTTTTAGGGTTAAAGCAAGCGAGTTTGCATCCTTTTTCTCTGTAAATTTCGATTCTTCCAAAGCTTTAAGTTTCAACAAATGTGGTGGATTTACCATAGCAGAGGAAGCTTTCAGTGAATTTGAGGTAAGTAGTTTCAGAAGTCCAGTTCTAAGGAACATCGAATTATACCTTTGATAATACAGTGGCTTGTTATTAGCTTTAGATTTTTTAAAGTTTTTACTAGTATTCATAATTTGCTTGCTATTACTAGACATTTTAGAGAGGAACAACCTAATTATTTGTATCTTGCATAGGAATCATTTCTACTTTTTATTTAAGATAAGTTTTTTTGTTTTTAAGTATTTGTGTAGTTAGTTATTTTTTTTGATTTAAATAGATTATATTTTGGAATAAAAAAGTTATTTCGCTTATAAACTATTACTTAATATAACCATACATTTGAAAAACAATAAATAAATCAATCAATATCTCTAAAAAGCTTAATTTGTTCAAGCTTTAAATATTACTTTCTTTTTTTAGTTTTATTAAATTAAGTAAAATTATAATTTTTGGGGGTAAATTACAAGGAATAAATTAATTACAGTTAATAAAAATTAGCTAGCGAGCAATTAATTGATGATAAATACTGGCCATGAAATTAACACTAATAAAAAATATGCCAAATAATTAATTAGATCTATTTATTTATTTCTTACTTACTTTCGCTGTATTTATTTTGTAATAGTTGCTTCATTATCAAGATAAAATTATAATTTTAATATCTAAGTTAAATTAAAGAATTGAATTTATTTTTATTAGATATATAATAAAACCGTAATATCGTAGATTAATATTTTTCTAAATTAGTATTTCTTAATAGTGAGGTAAAATAATAAAATGATATAAACGAAGAAATTCTTTTGTTAATAAAATAAGTGAGCAAATTTTATTTACAACTAATCGTGTTTTTTGCCATACAAAGTCAATTTATTTATAATCAGGCAAAGTACAATGATAGAGCGTGGTGCAAGTTTTAATATATTTAAAACATTATTGATAAATGTAAAATCAAATATTATTCTAAATAACAAATATATTAGAATCTTAAACAAGCGTTATTTGTAAATAGCTATTAAATAATCTAAAATGAATGTATGTATTACTCTCTAATGATAATTTAATTAAAAGAACTATAACTTTATTCATATAAATACTTTAAGAAAATTGAATGCATGAATAATAATATAAAATAGAGTGGTCTTAGTAATTAATAGATAGATCGAAATATTTAATTGTTCGTTTCATTTTTTATTATTTTAAATATATTTGCTCTTCCCTAAAACAGTAAAATTAGGGAAAGAAGATGAGAGGGGGATATAATTTTAAAAATAAATCTTTTCGGAAGAGGAGCAATGATTAAAACACTCAATAGATCTGGGTTTCTAGGAGACCACTCAATAGATTCTCCCCTCCCAATCTTTAGGATATAACATATTATTTTATTTTTATTAATATTTTCAATAAATAAATATCTTGCTTTGAATAATATAAAAAATATAATTATTAAAATTGTTTTATTTTTATTAGTAATCAATATATATTTTTAACAAACTCACATTAGTTAATCTTCTCTTTAAATTTATTAAAAATGGATTGTTTTTTTTCTCATTTTTAAATACTAATAAAATTGATGAAATTAAAATTATTTTTAACTTAAATTTTTAATTTTGATGAATTATTTTATTCATAATTAATATACTTATTAATATAAAATTATATATAAAATACTTAATTATAATATTATGCTTTATTTTATAATATGATTCAAAGTAGAAGTTAGAAAATTAATAGCTTAAGAGAAGATGAAGGAAGGAAGGAATGAAGAAAGTGGGAAATGAAGATTTCAAAGAAGTTTAGACATAAAAGCCTATTAGATGATCCAACCACAAACTAATAAGATCTTTTCATCATCCTTCATAGAAGATTCGAATGTGATATCGCCCTTTGCGTAGAAGGCATTTTATTCATTCCAAGGCATAGTACACATACTATTAGCAACATGGGAGTTAATAATTTAAGTGATTGGAATGCCATCTCTAACTACATCAATCTTTTTGGGGAATTTGCAAGCATAGTTCAAGATAACATCAAGTCTGTTAGCACATGAAACAACGGGTTACAAAACCATTGGGGGTCTAGTCTAATCTGCATGCTTAACTATGAATCTTGGGGTACTTGCACAACTTCCAGAAATAAGATGTTCAACCTTACCAAGGATAACTCCTTTGTATCTAATCATAGCGGTTTTCTTGCAACACATTTCAATTTGAATGGGACAACCTTCGCTGGGTAGATTTTAGAACATGTAAGGAATTTCGGAGTGTTCATAGCATAAACAACAGCTCTTAGGGTTAAAGCAAGCGAGTTTGCATCCTTTTTCTCTGTAAATTTCGATTCTTCCAAAGCTTTAAGTTTCAACAAATGTGGTGGATTTACCATAGCAGAGGAAGCTTTCAGTGAATTTGAGGTAAGTAGTTTCAGAAGTCCAGTTCTAAGGAACATCGAATTATACCTTTGATAATACAGTGGCTTGTTATTAGCTTTAGATTTTTTAAAGTTTTTACTAGTATTCATAATTTGCTTGCTATTACTAGACATTTTAGAGAGGAACAACCTAATTATTTGTATCTTGCATAGGAATCATTTCTACTTTTTATTTAAGATAAGTTTTTTTGTTTTTAAGTATTTGTGTAGTTAGTTATTTTTTTTTGATTTAAATAGATTATATTTTGGAATAAAAAAGTTATTTCGCTTATGAACGATTACTTAATATAACTATAAATTTGAAAAGCATTTAAGAAATAAATCAATATCTCTAAAAAGCTTAATTTGTTCAAGAAGGTTTATATCTTACTTTCTTTTTTTAGTTCTATTAAATTAAGTAAAATTAAAATTTTTGGGGGTAAGTTACAAGGAATAAATTAATTACAGTTAAAAAAAACTAAGCGAGCAATTAATTGATGATAAATACTGGTCATGAACCAATAAAAACTTTGTCAATTAATTAAGTAGATCTATTTATTTCCTTCTTACTTAGTTTTGCTGTATTTATTTTGCAATAGTTGCTTCATTATCAAGATAAAATTATAATTTTAATATCTAAGTTAAATTAAAGAATTGAGTTTATTTTTATTAGATATATAATAAAACCATAATATCATAGATTAATATTTTTCATATATAAAAGGATGCTAAAATTAGTATTTCTGTATAGTGCGGTAAAATAATAAATTGACAGAAATGAAGAAATACTTTTGTTAATAAAATAAGTGAGCAAATTTTATTAACAACTTATTGTATATTTTGCCATAAAAAGTCATGCTATTTATAATCAGACAAAGTATAATGATAGAGCGCGATGCTAATTTTAATATATTTAGAGCATTATTGGTAAATGTAAAATCAAATATTTTTCTAAATAACAAATATATTAGAACCTTAAGCAAGCGTTATTTGTAAATAGCTATTAAATAATCTAAAATGAATGTATGTATTACTCTCTAATGATAATTTAATTAAAAGAACTATAACTTTATTCATATAAATACTTTAAGAAAATTTAATGCTTGAATAATAATATAAAATAGAGTGGCCTTGGTAATAGACAGATGAAATAATTTATTGTTCGTTTCATTTTTTATTATTTTAAATATATTTGCTCTTCCCTAAAACAGTAAAATAAGTGAAAGAAGATGAGAGGGGGATATAATTTTAAAAATAAATCTTTTCGGAAGAGGAGCAATGATTATAGTTTTTTAAGAGCTTTTAAAAATAAACATTTGACTTTATTCATAACCCTTCTATACTAATAGGCCTAATAATAATTAATTGTAATGAATAAATTAACTTTAAGACTAATAAAAGTTTGTTTTTTAACTGTATCTGATTAATTCAGCTCGCAAAATTTAGAAATTAAAAATATTTTAAGAAGAAAAAATAATTTTTTTTGTTTTTTAAATACAAAATAGTGGATTAATCATGACTTTACTCTTTATATATTTCAAAAATTATCTATCAAAAATATTAGTTTTTTTATTCTTAGAGAAAGTCATTATTTATTGACTATTTATTAAGTTTATAATAGATTTATTTCTTTATTTATTTAATATATTATGAACATATATATTTATTTATTCATTTTTATGATATTAGTTATTATAAAAAGACTAATTATTTTTTGGAAGAATTTGAATTTATTAAATGAATGAAAATTTATAATTACACTAAAATACAATAAATAGTACATTTAGCATGTTATATAAACAAATAATTATATTATATATATAAAGTAGAAATCATCAATTTTAATGGAAGGAAGGACAAGAAGATAATCAGGAAAATGTATTTCAAATAAGACGAGACATGTAAGCTTGTTAGACAATCCAACCGCACATCATCAAGATCTTTTCATCATCCTTCATTGATGGTTCAAATAAAATGTCGGCCTTTCCGTAGAAGGCATTTTGTTCATTCCAAGGTAAAGTGCACATACCGTTGGCTACATGAGAATTGACAATCTAAGTAATAGGAACGCCATCTCTAACTACATCAATCTTTTTGGGGTACTTACAGGCGTAGTTTAATATTGCGTCAATTCTATTGATGCAAGAAACAACAGGTATCAAAACCAAAGGAGATCTTGTTTAATCAATGTGCTTAACAATGAATCTTGGAGAGCTTGCGCAACTTCCAGAAATAAGACGTTCAACCTTACCAAGGATGACTCCCTTGTATCTAATCATAGCGGTCTTTTAGCAGCACATTTCGATTTGAATAGGACAACCTTCACTAGGGAGATTTTAGAACATGTAAGGGATTTCAGAGTGTTCATAACATAAGCAGCAGCTCTTTGTGTCAAAGCAAGCAAGTTTGCAGCCCTTTTCTCTGTAAAATTCAATTCTTCCAAAGTTTTAAGTTTAGATGAATGTAGTGGATTAACCATAGCAGAGGACTCTTTCAGTGAATTTGAGGTGAGTGGTTTCTTAAGTCCAGTTTTGAGGAACATCGAATTAGACTTTTGATAAAACAGAGGCCTGTTATTAACTTTAGATCTTTAAAAGCTATTGTTAATATTCATTAGTTATTTGCTAAGGTTAGACAACATATTATAAAGCGACCTATTAGTTTTCGGTTTATTGTGTAGGGATCATTTTAGCTTTTTTATGAATGTTATTTTTTAGAAATATTTTTTTTTAGTTGATTTTATTGATTTAATTGGATTATATTTTAGCATTAAGTTTTCCTTAGATTTATAATACTAGCTTCATTAAACGATAAAAGTTAAAACTGAAAATAAGGAACTTAATAACCTTCACTAATTCATCTAAATTATTAAAGGCTTAAGTATGACTATTTAATTAAAAAGAAATTAGTTAGTATTGATATTTTATATTTGGGGTAAGTAATAAGATATTAATTAATTAAATGATATTTTACTAGTACTTAGCAAATGATAAATTCTGGTTTTTATTAATAGTTAATTTAACTACTATCTTTTGACAAACAATAGAATCAGATGCTTGAATACAAGAGTTAAGAAAAGTAAAAACAGAACTTTGAAGTATTCAATAATCATAATATAATAATCTACTAATTTTTCAAAACGCAAATAAATGAAATAAGTTAAAATTTGAAACTTTTTTTTTATAACAAATAAAAAAACAAACACTGATTACAAAATTTTGTTTGACTCTAAAATTTAATACAGCCATACCTCATATTTAATGCCAAGCCAAATTTATTTTGTATTCAATATACTAATAAATAAAAGAAATTTTAATTGAATATTTAAAATTAATATCTTTTTTTTTATTAGATGAAATATTTTAAAATAAGGTAGATAAAAAAACTGACATTTTTATGTAAAAGAATCTATTAATCTAATAATAACGCTTTATACCCTTTTGCTTATTACCTTTCATATAATATAAATTTAAATGAGGGCCAATTATAATATGATATTAAAAGCTTGAAAAGTCAACTATTACTTAGTGATTGTAAATTATTTAATTAATCATTATTTTTATCAAATAGTACTTAATAATTGTCATTGTAAACATATTAATAATAATAATTTAGAGATAATAAATTAGATAATCTTACTTGCTATTGTCAATTAACTAATTAATTAGTACTATCAACTTCTAATTAATAAGATCTAGGTCGATAATAATGAAAAATAATTTAAAGTTACAAACTAGGAATTGAGCAAAATTAGTACAAATTAAAAAAGAGTATTTTATAGCTTTATTATAATCAAAAGCATCTTAGCTATTAATATTAGTTCATTGTAAATTTATAAAAATAAATTAAAAAGTGTTCATATATATATATGATTTTTAATTAATTATCAATGCCTTTAAATTTATATTCAAAATTCAATTTTTTATTACATTCATTCATTTATATATAATACAAAATAAATTACTCTATTAAATTAAAATCAAAAGAAAAATGTTAAATCTACAATAAAATAGCGCAGAAAAAATACTAAAAAAGTAAATTCTAATTTTTTTTAAATATTATAAAATAGTATATTTATTTTATTCAATATTATTAATATCTATACAAAAAAATTTTTTTGTTATTAGTAAAATTAATCAATATTTTTATCCATATTTTTTCTATCTATTTTTTGGCTTTTATTTGATTAATTTTAATAAATCTGCTTGTTAGGATTATTTACTTTGCTAATTTTTTATAAATTAATTCAAATCTAATATGTTTTCATTACTTTTGCTTCTTGAATTAGTTATTAAAACTAAAGCTGATTTTGATTACGCACGCTGGTAAAGAAAACAATAATTTGAAACTATTATTTTGCTATTAAAATATTGAATAAAAATGTTTTAGATATAAAATTTATTTTACATTCATTCATATTTACTTTCTTTTTTACAGCTAAATATTTACATTTAAATGAATCAAAGCATATTGATAATTATGCATCGAATATAATTGGTACTATTTCATAGCGTTTACTTACTCTAAGTTTTATTAAAATATTTAAGTTACTATAAAGAAAAATAAACTATGTAAAATATATAAGATTTTTTTTTTTGGTACTCGAAAATAATTAACAAAATTCAAACCATTTTATTAATATGTCAAAATATCATCAAACATTTATATTAGTCATATTTAAAGGCTATCAAATAATCAATATTCAAAAATAAGATTATTAGTTTTAACATCCTTTCATTTTTTATTTCTTTTAAACTAGCCTTGTAGTTATCTGTCAATCTTTAGCACTTAATTTAGTATTTATTAATTTTGAAACTTATAAATAGTATTTATTTTTTGATAAACGCACAAATTTAATTTAAATATTTTGAAATAGTATAGACGAAAATTTACTTATTTATTTACCTTAATAACTCATATAAATTTATTAAAAGTTTCAAAATTTATTTTTAGCAAATTGCAGTTTAAAATTTCAAATATTTAAGAAAAATCGAATACTATTACTTCTGTATGTGCTTGCTTGAGATCACTTTATATAACTTAAATTAGAAATATAATAAACAAAATATTGGCTGCGAATATTTTTGATTTAAGTAAAATCCACTCAAAAGCCCTAATATTATCTTTAATTTTTTATATCATTTATTTAGTTTTTTATTACTGACAGATTTTATCATATCATATAAACACTTACTAGGCAATTGTAAATTAGCCAGCCTATTAATAAAATCTAATAAGAAATTAATCAGTTATCAAATTAATAAATTTAGTGATAAAACAAACAAACAAACAAACAAACAAACAAAAATTGACACAGCTCTGAACAGTGAAAATTAATTAAGAGTACTTGAAATTAATAAATTACTTTGATTGGAGTAATCAAAAATTTGTTAATTAACTTCTTTTTGTCTAATAGCTAATAGGTTTGTTAAAATAAAATGTCTTATTATGAAAATATTAAAAAGTTCACATTGATAATACAAAATAACATGTAAAAACAATAATTTTATTCAAATTTATCTTAATAAGCTTGCTAATTAATTAATATTTTTCTTATTTTTCAATTTTTTTTATTATATTAGACCAATACTAATAAATAATATGCGATTTTATTATTAAAGGGATTTGATGCTTTTTTAACTTCTTTATTTGCTTTATATTTCAAACTAAAATTAACTTTAAAATTATGTATGACATTTTTATAATTTTTAAAATGTATTTGGATATTTTGAAAATTATTTTACACAAACAAACAAAGTTGATTATTTTAAATTCAATTTTTAGTAAAGAATTCATTATTTTTGAAAATTAGATTATTATTGCTGGATACAAACAACTATTACTACATTTTTACGCAACTATAACTATATTTATCACTTATTTTTAATATTAAAAATTTAGAGTAAAATTGCAAAATTTAATGAAATTATCTTTAAATATATACAGCCATACAAAAATATGTTAAAATTTATATAATAATTAAGAATATTATACTTTTTAATTTGCTTTGGCTATCAAATACCATATAAACAAATTAAACACAGAAAGTGAGACTATATATAGTATATAGTGAAAGTTATTTTTTGCTATCCTATATACATTTAACTTGTTAACAAATAATATATTAGTTAGATTTTTATAATTATAACCAAAGTAGAAATTCATTCATTATCAATTTGGTAGAAATAAGGGTTAAGAGGAAAAGAAATTTATTTCAAATAAGACGAGACATGTAAGCTTGTTAGACAATCCAACCGCACATCATCAAGATCTTTTCATCATCCTTCATTGTTGGTTCAAATAAAATGTCGGCCTTTCCGTAGAAGGCATTTTGCTCATTCCAAGGTAAAGTGCACATACCGTTGGCTACATGAGAATTGACAATCTAAGTAATAGGAACGCCATCTCTAACTACTTCAATCTTTTTGGGGTACTTGCAGGCGTAGTTTAATATTGCGTCAATTCTATTGATGCAAGAAACAACAGGTATCAAAACCAAAGGAGATCTTGTTTAATCAACGTGCTTAACAATGAATCTTGGAGAGCTTGCACAACTTCCAGAAATAAGGCGTTCAACCTTACCAAGGATAACTCCCTTGTATCTAATCATAGCGGTCTTTTAGCAGCACATTTCAATTTGAATGGGGCAACCTTCACTAGGGAGATTTTAGAACTTGTAAGGGATTTCAGAGTGTTCATAACATAAGCAGCAGCTCTTGGTGTCAAAGCAAGCGAGTTTGCATCCCTTTTCTCTGTAAAATTCGATTCTTCCAAAGTTTTAAGTTTAGACAAATGTAGTGGATTAGCCATAGCAAAGGACTCTTTCAGTGAATTTGAGGTGAGTGGTTTCTTAAGTCCAGTTTTGAGGAACATCGAATTAGACTTTTGATAAAACAGTGGCTTGTTATTAACTTTAGATCTTTAAAAGCTATTGTTAGTAGTCATTGGTTATTTGCTAAGTTTTAACTGCATATTGGATAGGGACAGTCTATTAAGTGTCGACTTATTGCATGGGGATCATTTTTATTATTTTTTTAGTTAAGTTTTTTTAGAAATATTTTTTTGTTATTTTGTTGCTTGTTTAATTTTTGAGATAAATAAATTATATTTTAAGCGAATGTTTTCAGTATTTTAAGTCTTGTTTGAATGAGAAGAAACTTAAAAATTATATCTAATTAACAAAATATCTACGCTCGATTATTAAATATAAAAATATAATTGACTTTAAATAGTACTATTTAATTAAAAGGGGATTTATGTGAATATATATATATTTAAGGGGTAGGTATAAATTAAGAAATTATTAAAAATATGATTAGTTAGTTTTTTACTAGTTGTTTTTAATACAGTCAAATCTGGTCAAAATTAGTAATAATTTGTTTATTAATTATTTTGACTGCTCTAAAATTATAAATTAAAGCAAGGTAAAATTAATTAAGATTTCGCTGCATAAACAAAAGTTTGATAAATTTCTTACTGAATTTTTATTCAGAACAAGCAAGATAAATAGCTAAATTAAAATTAGTTTAAAATAAATATATATATGTAGCTAGCTAGCTATCTAGAGGTTTGGAATGCTTTAATCTTTCGAATCAATAAAAATAAATTTAAAAAATAATGAAAATAAATATGTTTTTTTTAAATATCACGCAAGATCATTTGATAACTAGAATATATTTATTTTAGTGATAATTAACTAAAATAAAAAAGGAATAAATTAAATGAGTCTAAAAAAAATTATATTTGATTGATTTATAAAAAGCTTAAAAAATGTTATAAGATATTATTTTCCTTCTATCACTAATCAATCAATCTAAAAATTAAATCTATATCGTTATTTTAATTATTTTTTATTACTTACTATCATTTTTTGATAGATTATTCATTCATGAATGACCATGTAAATTTAGTACTATTACTTAATTTAATTTTTATACTGAAAACCATGATTTTGAATATAACTATTAGCTAACTAGTTAAGTAATTAATTAAAGAATAGAGAGCTTATATATATTTACATTGTCAAGTAGACTAATAAATTGTACATTAAAATTTAAAAGTAGTTTCAAAAAATTTATAGATTTTAATTTAATATGAATTTTTTATATATTATTTTTTTTATTTTAAAAGATTTTAGTTTGTTTGAATAAAATACGTACTTTATTGCCATTATTATAGTTTGTCTCTTTATAAAATAGTAAAATGTAATAAAAAGCCCATTTAGTTAATCAAATCCATATTAGTTACAATTAAAATCAGAATATAGGTTAAAGCGAATTAAATTTATAATAGAAATGATGATATTTATATAAACCATCAGAAATAAAAAAATAGTTGTTGAAATAGTAGATAGATATGAAAATTGCTATGGTAAAATATCATATTTGCTTTTTTTACTTCTGCTTTTTTGTTTGTTTGGTATTCAATTTTTTAGACAATCCTCAAAGGAGGTTGTAAGATAAATTAAAATAAAGAAGTATAATTGATAGTAAAAATATCATATAAAATTTCAGTATCTTAAAATATTTCTATTCATTTCAACCCTGTCTCATCAATATCAATGAAACTATCAATCAATAAATAAATCATAGTTGTTATATTTTTAAGCATTTCATATTTCTACTAAAAAAGAATAATTTAATAGGTTGGCTTAAGAATAATTTAATAGGTTGGCTTAAGAATAATAAACACTGCAAAAGCCCTGCAAACAAATACATAAATAAATATATTTTCAGAATGTTACAACGAAGTCCATATTAATTTATATCAAAAATAAATTTAGCGAAGTTATAAAATATAAGCGACATATTTTAAAATGATTTATTTTTCATGTTATCTCTTCATTTTGCTTTTTGAATATTTATCTTTGAAAAAAATTTCAAAATGTGCCAAATTCAAATTAGTTTAAAATCAATAAGAATAATCTAAATTTAAAATCTTTAAAATATATAATAAATAAAATGAAGTTATCAATAATAAAGTGAGTGAGTTTATGATAAGCGTTGATAAGGTGTTTTATTTCTATTGCAGCAATAAGAAATTTTTATTTTTTTGAATCTGTTAACACGATACAAAAGCTCAAAATATTTAGTGCTCAAAAAAAAAAAGATCCAAAAAACTAAAATACGCACATAACTCAAACTAATAAGGAAATACTTCTGCAGATTAAAATCAACTATTACTAGTAATTTTAAGTTATTTAATCAAACTATTAATTAGATAGAACAGATGCATGAATATAAAATTTTTACTATATTCAGTAATAGTAATTAATGTAATATTACTTGCTAATTGTAAATTAATAAATTTGTTCTAAGAAATCCCGAGTAAATAAGAAATTAGTCGATAAAAAGTTATTATTTTGAAGTTATAAAATATAAATTGTATTAATGATGTACTATCTCAAGAAAGAATAAATTAATTATCATTTTCTTAATAAAATGCATCACTCATTCATTCTTTCATTTTTCATATTTGCTTTAAATTTTTTAATTAATTTATCAAATATTATATTAAATAGAGTCAATCATGCTTTGTGTTGCGTATCAAATGATAATAATAAATCATTAAATTCAGCTAAAGAAAAAAGGGTTTATTTTTTTATATTTATCTTGATTGTTTGCTTTTTTGGAACAAACAAAGCATCTATTTTTATATTAAAGAAAAAGTCATCTTTCTAAATGGTGTTCAAATAATTATTTATATTTTACTAAGAATAAAATCTCTAAATTTAGTTCTTAATAAATTATTAAAATTAGTTTTATCACGCATTCATAAAAACCAAATATTATTTTAAATATTTTAAAATAATATTTAACTTGTTTTATAATTTTGTTTGTTTGTTTGATTTAGATTTTAATATTATTTATTTTTTATGACATGAAAATTGCTAAAAAGCCTAAAATTTATATTTTAATTTGTAATATAAATATTATAACTCATATATAATTTTATAAATCAAATACTCATTAAGTTACCATGATAGAAATCAAATGTATTTTAACATTAAATCTCCATAAATAGTAAGGATATTAAAAGCTTTGAGGTATCAATTATTTAGATTATTAAAGCTTATCGATAAAATAGATTTATTTTATAATTAATTTGCGTTACTAAAAGCGTTATATTTTAACCTTTAATTATCATTAAAGAATACTTAAATTACATTTAATTGATAATCTGATCCTTTTATATAATTCAATTTATATTTATTTCTTGCTATATTTTTTTTCTCCATATATCATAATCATTCAATATTGAAAACTTACTTCTACTTTGTTTAAATAAAATAGTTAGTTACTGAAATAAAAAAATAATTGTTTTTATTTTAATAAATACTTCAAGAAAAAGTAGAAAATAAACAAATAAATAAATTTATTTTATTTTATTTTTAAATTTTTTAAGTTAAACTATTGAAAAATTTACGATATAGAATATAAATATGCTTAAAAAAACACAAAAAATCATGGATTTTTTGCATAAATTAATTATATTTTTAGAAATGAACTTATTTAATTCATTCAAATAAGAATAGCCAATAACATCATAAGTGCTAATATTTAAAGATTTGCAGAATTTGAATAAGTATTAATACTTGAGGGTTATGAAGTTTCCTTATCTTACTTTTCTGAATTTTAATTGCTATTATTGCCTGATGAACCAGAGTTGATATTATTGCCTGATGAACCAGAGTTGCTACTACTATTGTCTGAAGAGCCAGAGTTGTTATTACTATTACCTGAAGATCCAGAATTACTGTTACTACCTGATGAACCAGAACTAGATGATCCTTCCTTAACACATCCAGCTCCATCCTTAGTTGTTGCAACATTGCCTGTATATCCGTACTTGCATTCACATTTGTTAACAGAATAACTTAAATATTCAGCATATTTATCAAAACATGTACAAAAACTTGGTGAGCCTTCATTATTATAAGAATTTTCAGGGCAAGGTTTACATGTTGCAGCTTTAGCTTCAGGGCCATATCCACCAGCCAGATCATAAACAAAGTAATTTTCAATACATCTATTGCAACTAGTAATAAATCCTTTTTCACCAGTGTTACAATCTCCTTTTAAGCATTGATTAGAGATAGTAAATTCAGGACACTTAGAGCATTTACCTCCATAAGCAGCATTTACTCCATAATATCCTTTATTACAAGCGCATTTACCATCATATTTAGAGGCATTATCAGCACATGCAGTTTCGCATCCTTTAACTCCAAAGCTATTTGCAACCTAGCCAGCATAACCTGGTTAGCAAGTGCAAGTTGTAATGGTATCTGATAATTTTGAAGCATAGCTATCATAACATCTGCAAGTTTCAATTGATCCGACACTTTGTTATACAGGAGTATAAGAATTTTCAGGGCATTTTTAGCATTAAGCTGGTTAACCAGTTTTTGAATCTGCTGCTTTTGTCATAAAGTAACCTGATTAACAACTATTGCAAAATGATGCATCCTTACCAATTTTTTCATAATCAAAAGGATTAGCACCTTCGCTTCCACAAGGTAGGCAAATTCTCTTACCACTAGAATTGTTCCAATAGTAACCTTTTTCGCATTCATAGCAAGCATCTTCTTCAGATCTGACATCTTCGTCTTATCTTGTAGTTAGAGAATGTTCAGGACATTTAGAGCAAGTAGCAGGTTTATCTTTAGTTGCTTTAACTGTAACATAGAAATTGTTTTAACATTTTTTACAAACTGCAGCGGTAGCTCCAGCAAAAGTGTTATAATACAAACCAGAAGTAGAACTAGTATTATCTGGGCATTTAATGCAATTATCAGCACTTTCACCATAGTATCCTTCCTTACAAGCACATTTTTCTGAAACTAATATACTATTTTCTGGGCATTGCTCTTCTGCTAAAGCAAATATGCACAATAATGCAAGTATTATGAGTTGCTTTTTCATTTTTTTTTTTTTGACTTATGGTTTTTATTTTTTAGATTGATTATTAATTTGATTTGAATTATATTTTTTATGTTTAATCTGTTTTGCAATTTATAGTTGTTTGAAGGCTTAGTTTTTTGTTTAATTTATTATAATTAGAGCCAAAATTAGTTTTAGAAAGTCATAAATTTGATAATTACTTCATCTTATTTATTAAAATTAAAAAAAGGCTGCAGAATTCAGTAATAGTTTAGGTATATTTATTTAACTGATTAATTTTTTAATAAATGAGTTGAGACAAATTTACTAGATTAGTTAATTAATTTGAATAATTCGCAATCTTTATAAACCAGCAAACAAACGGGTGAGATTCAATAAAAAAAGTAGACTCACAAAAGCTAGCAAAATGTTTGAAAATAAAAATAATTTTAAAAAATAACAAAGTAAATTTAAAATAATATCAAAATATTTATTCATATTTTTAGAATTAATTAGTGTGATTAAAAAACGTAATTTAATATTTTATAATTATAAAAAAATAAAAAATTGTTTATATAGATATTTATGAAGATACTTTCATAAATAATGAGTAATAAAAATTGATAGTAATAGTTATGCATGCTACAATTAATTATTTTTGCTCTTTCAAGCTATTAATCGCTAACGCATTAATTAATATTTTTATAAAGATATTTAATTTTTTTAAAAACAAGTTATCTTTTTTTATAATCTAAAAAAGTATTATTTAGTATATTTAAAAAATATTTTCACTACATACAGGGGATATTAATTAATTAGAGTAAAATGCCATTTCGATTTACAATAAGCAAAATTTAATGTTTTGGTATATTTTTATAAAAATAAATATTAAATTTCTCTTATAGTAAATCGAAATAGCATTTTACTCTATCTATATAAATGATTTTTAAAAGGTATGATAAATATTTTGGAGAAAAAAAAAAACTTTAATATAGTTTTATTTTATATTTTAAAACAAAAAACAATAATTTTTTGTTAGAAACATTTAATGATAAGAATTTTATACAAAAAAAATCTGAAATTTTTCGAAATGAAGTAAATATCATAATATAATTTGATAGAACTTTAATATTAGAGATACCTATTAATATTTAGTTCTAAACAGTTAACAAAATTTCTTTTTTAATAAAATAAAGATAAATAAAGTAAGTTATTATTCCTAGTTATTTCCTATTTCTAAATTGTTCTATTAATTAAAAAAAACTAACTAATTTAATAATTTATAAGTTTATTAGATTTTATCCGTATTGATTGATAAATTAATAATTTGGCTTATAATAAAAAATTAAGCTTATTAAAACAAATATAACTAACTAATTACACAAATCTCTTGATACTGGTGAGATATTTATGCAAAAATAACTTTATTAACTGAATTAATATTTTTATAAGTAAAAAATTTATTTTTTTGAAACTTCATTCAATAATTTATTAAGATATTTATTTTAGTAGTAATACAAATTTTGATAGTTTTTTATCTATTTAAATATTTACTAACAAATTTTCATTCAAACATGCTAAACAATATCTGGAATAAATTAATCAAACTGTACATTTAAATATATGAAAGTAATTTTAGCTTTAGATGAAATTAAACATCTTTATACTTTATAATTTTAAGCAGTAAAAACATAATTTTAACTTAAACTTAATGTATATATTGCATTGGATGATTGCTAAAATCAATACAGCTAAATAATTTACAAAAAATTAAAGAATATTAAATAACAACCGACACTTATTTTATTTCCTACAAACTTGATTAATTAATTTTATTTTAATTTTTATTATAAAATATTTGTTTTATCATTTTTAATTTAAATATGTGATTTCAGATATGAATTTTTAATTCATTTTGAATAGATTTTTATTTTTTTATAATAAATTTTTGAATGACATTTGGTTATACTTACTAACTAACTTCTGCATTTGTTTGCTTGAGAGCACTTTATATAACTTAAATTAGATATATAATAAAAAAAATATTGACTGTGGATATTTAATTAAAATCCACCCAAAAGCCCTAATATTATCTTTATTTATTTATTATCATTTATTTGGTTTTTTATTTATTATTAACAGATTTTATCATACCAATCAAATGTTTTCTTAGTAATTGCAAATCAGCCAGCTTAAAATCTAATAAGAAATTAATCAGTTTTCAAATTAATAAATTTGGTGATAAAACATTCAAAAAATAGACACAGCTTTCAAACATGAAAATTAAGATTAAAAAATCTGATTTATTAAATTATTTTTTGTTAATAGCTAATGAATTAATCATTAAAATGCCTTATTCTGAAAATAATATTTTTCTTTTAGCTTTATAATATTTAATGAATCCTAAAAATATGTGATTCTATTATTGATTTATTGATTTGAGGTGAGGTGAGGTTTTTTTAATTTCTTAATTTGCTAAGAATTTTAATTCCAATTAACTTTAAAATTAAGTATGATATAAATATGTTTTTATTATTTTTTTAAATGTATTTGAATATTTTTTAATTTATTTTCCATAACATTATTTTATTTTAAATTCATTTTTTAGTAAAGAATTCATTATTTTTCAAAAGTGAATTATTATCATTGAATACAAACAACTATTACTATTTTCTTGCACAACTATAACTAAATTTTTTAAATTAAAATTTTAGAGTATAAATACAAAATTTAATTAGTATATATAGCCAGACAAAAATAAATATGTTAAAATTTATATGATAATTAATAATATTATTTTCTTTAAAATGTTGCCTTTTTTCTTTTGTGTAAGTATTAAAAATTAAGTGGCGTCATTGATTGCTTCTATTATTAATTTAGACATTGAAAATTTGCTGATTAATAATTATAAATTTAATATTAGATATTTTTAATCAAATATTATTTCTTTCTTTTAGATTTTATTTACTTTTAAAAATGCATTGTACTTTTTTAACCAAGGAAAATTAATTAATTAATATATTTACTTACTATAAAACAATATATACATTTAGCTTATTAACAAATAATATCTTAGTTATATTTTTATAATTATAACCAAAGTAGAAGTTAGTTCATTCATTATCAATTTTGGTAGAAATAAGGTTTAAGAGAATAAAAAATTTGTTTCAAAGAAGACGAGACATGTAAGCTTGTTAGACAATCCAACCACACATCATCAAGATCTTTTCATCGTCCTTCATTGATGATTCAAATAATATATCAGCCTTTCCGTAGAAAGCATTTTATTCATTCCAGGGTAAAGTACACATACCGTTGGCTACATGAGAATTGACAATCTAAGTAATAGGAATGCCATCTCTAATTACATCAATCTTTTTAGGGAATTTACAAGCGTAATTCAAAATGGTATCAATTCTATTAGCGCAAGAAACAACAGGTACTAAAACTATAGGAGATCTTGTTTAGTCAACATGTTTAACAATGAATCTTGGAGAGCTTGCACAACTTCCAGAAATAAGACGTTCAACCTTACCAAGGATAACTCCCTTGTATCTAATCATAGCGGTCTTTTAGCAACACATTTCAATTTGAATGGGGCAACCTTCGCTAGGGAGATTTTAGAACATGTAAGGGATTTCAGAGTGTTCATAACATAAGCAGCAGCTCTTGGTGTCAAAGCAAGCGAGTTTGCATCCTTTTTCTCTATAAAATTCGATTTTTCCAAAGTTTTAAGTTTAGACAAATGTAGTGGATTAACCGCAGCAAAGGAATCTTTCAGTGAATTTAAGGTATGTGGTTTCTTAAGTCCAGTTTTGAGGAACATCGAATTAAACTTTTGATAAAACAGTGGCTTATTATTAACTTTAAATCTTTAAAAGCTATTGTTAGTAGTCATTGGTTTGCTAATTCTTGGTAGCGTATTCAAGAGGAACAACCTATTAAGTGTTAACTTATTGTATGGGGATCATTTTTATTATTTTTTTTAATTTAAGTTTGTTTAGAAATATTTGCTTATTGTTTTTATTGCTAATTAAATTTTTTTAGATTAATAAATTATATTTTATGTAAATGTTTTTTGTATTTGAAGTCATGTTTCAATAAAAAAGAAACTTAAAAATAGTATTAAAGTAACAATTAAAATCCCCTCATAAATTTAGATTTTTATTGCTGACAGATTTTATCATATCATTCAAACGCCTATTAAGCAATTGCAAATTAACCAGCTTAAAATCTAATAAGAAATTAATCATTTATCAAATTAATAAATTTAGTGATAAAACATACAAAAATTGACTAGCTCTCAAGGTTGAAAATTAAGACTAAAAAATTTGATTAATTAACTTCTTTTTGGCTAATAGTTAATCAATGAATGAATTAGTTAAAATGTCCTATTCTAAAAGTTCACGTTTATATAAAAAAATAACAGGTAATGACAATAATTTTATTAAAAGTTATCTTTATAAGCTTGCTAATAAATTATAATTTTTCATATCTTTCTTTTCTTAATATGTGATTATATTTATTAATGGATTTATGGTTTTTACTTCTTAATTTGCTAAAAGTTTAAAATTCCAATTTGCTTTAAAGTTAAGTATGTTTTGAATATATTTTTTATATATATTCGAGTATTTTTTTTTTAATTTATTTTGCATAAGATTATTTTAAATTCATTTTTTAGTAAAGAATTCAATGAAAAGTTAATTATTGTTGTTGAATACAAACACCTATTACAATCTTATTTCGCAACTATAATTATATTTTTAATATTAAAAATTTTAGAGTATAAATACAAAATTGAATGAAATAATCTTTTAACATATATAGTGATACAAAAATATATTAAAATTTATATAATGATTAAGAATATTATTGTCTTTTTTCTTAATTTAAGGTGAACATAATTTTTATTTTTTTATTTTTGGCACCTTAACTAAGAGGATTGAAGGTATTATATTCTTTAAAATGTTGCCTTTTTTCTTTTGTATAAGTATTAAAAATTAAGTAGCGTCATTGATTGCTTCTATTATTAATTTAGACAT